CCCCCCCCCCCAAAATAAAAAAAAACCCCGCTCTGTTTCCAAATATAAAACCAAAATTGTCCAGATCCTTCTGTCTGAATCCAGGTATATGAAAACTTCTTTATCCGATAACTTTTTAATTTGATTTAAAGTTTGTGTGTAGCCAGAGATAAAAAATAGAGTTGTTTCAGCTTGAAAGAGAAAATTTATGAGGAATTTGTGGAAACGAGATGAAATGTTTAAATTATAGGTCATGGGTGTTTATTCTTACACCCCCCCTCCTCCTCCTGCTCTAATCAATAAATATTGACACCACCTACAGCTACAGGCTTGGAATGAGAAGAGAATATACCCCTCCCTTCCCCACTTAATTCATCTTTTGAACTCACTATTTTTCTTCTCCTCTCTCTGTAACCCACGTTCCCCTTAAAACCCCATAAAAATTTGAACCCCTAGTTTCAGTATAATATATTTACCAGATTAAAGGCTGGGGTTTATACATATTTTCAAGACATTTATGCGGTTTTTAGGGTTTATTGGATGATGAATTAGGGAAAATAATTGATTTCTAAGGGGACATCAATGAATTTTTGGGTATTAAGGATCAAAAAGTTGCCTTTTATTGTTTCATCCCATCCCCTCCCCCCAATTATCAAAAATCAATCAGAAATCATTTTGAATAATATACACCCCTGTAGCAGTATATGGTCAAGGGCACGGGCAACGCCGGGTACTATTGTAATTCCATTAAAAATAATCAACTAAGAACTTAAAATTAGTGACTCATAAGTCTTCCTTTCTATCTATCTATCTTTATCTTACCTATCTATCTATCTATCAGCTAATGTTAACTAATCAGTTATCTGCCCTAAACAGATCAAATATCAGACATAAACACCCGTATTTTTCATTTTATCTCTCTCAGATTAAAGCACATGGGCATGGTCTCAATTAGTTAATACCATGTATTGATTAACAATAAATATAATTTTTTCAGTATTTTTTAAAATAATTATTTTAATTCAAAAAGTCAAAATTATGAAAGAGAAGGTTGCGAATATAAGTTGGAAATATATAAATAGGGAAAAAGGATTCAAGAAAAAAAGTACTCCCCTCTCTGAGTACTCCTCCTCATTTAAAATTCGGTGATGGTGATGGACCAAAACCTCTGTAGAGTAAAAAAGTAGATGTTAGTTCCACATTTATTGAAAATATATTTCGGTCCGGGTTGACCCTCGTCTGTTCTTGAGATTGTTTCTGTCACAAAGATTAAAAACACACATTAGAATAAAGTAAATTGCATGTTTTCAATCAAAGCTCCTATTAAAGAACTGTTCTAAAGAACAAAAATATTTTGAATTTCTGATATGTTATTGTATAAACTTGATTTTCTCATTAAATCAAAACTTAAGAAGCTACGAGGTAACAAAACCATACCAGTAACGTCGCAAAAATGTTGCCTTCTCCTCCTGTCTAGTATACAACTTGCCTCCCCCCCCTCCCTTCACTCATACTTTAGTTGGCAGTACAAAACATGCGGGCTTATTTTTACCGCTTATAATCCAAACTAATTGTCCGTGAAATAATGCAATTATAAATTATAAAATAATATTTTGCTTAAACCAAAATATTGTTCAAAAGGAAGGATTTGGATCAAGACCCTGAATCAGGGTCTTTTACGGGGGCGCTGTAGAGTGGAGAAAGTAAAGTTTTTAATATTTATTCAATAAATGTGTCGAGTAGATCAAAATCTTCTATACCTGTCGCGCTAAATTGGTCAGTGCGCATTTTGCGAATGAGGATAGATGGTATATCTCGATTGAGCGCACAATGAACAGATTTAAGTCTCTGATCCGCGCACAAAAAGTTTAACGACGCGCTTAAAAATTTGAGTGCTTCAAGCATACTATAGATAGACTGGACAGTGGACAGTAAAAAGTGTTCACAAAATACATTACATGGAGTTAAAGTATTTTTATTTTATTTTTTAACCTTCATATGATGTTTTATGGACATTAAATCCTATACAGCTCGTGGTAGTTAAATTAATTAAAATAATGAATCTACCAAATTGTCATTTTTATTCTTATATTATTATCTGCAGAACCTTCAAATAAATTTTATTCTCCTTTGATTTATTTTTGTCTTCAATGTTTTATTTTTCCCCCCTTATTGGTCTAATTAGGAGCATAGGGCTTTTGAATCAAAATTTATTCAAATTAGTTTTCATGTATACTCACCCTGTCAAGTATAAAATGCGATATCCAGAAAAAAAGAGTATCAGTTTGTTAACTTTTATATTGTTTAATGTAATTTTGCTTTAGACAAATATAAATGATGAATATATATTTTTATTTCATATTATTTCATTTATCAATCATTGATATATTTAAATTGTTATTTTTTTTATCTTATTTTTTATCACATTTAAATGTTAGTAAATGACGCCAGTTTTTTCTTCAATTTGACTGCATATCAAAAAGTTTTTCATGGGCGCGCACACCTCTATTTTGCCGCGCATAATTTTCGTTGCTTCCTTGTTTTGCTTAATAAATGTTATCTGATCGTTCCATTCTGTTGAACATATACTCGGGCTCTCTTCTTCATTCTCTACTTATCAAAGGTTTAAGGGCGGGGGGAGNTTTCTCTTCCTTAAATAATGAAAGGAGAAATTATATACTCGGGCTCTCTTCTTCATTCTCTACTTATCAAAGGTTTAAAGGCGGGGGGGGTGGGGGAGAAAAAATAATTGACAGTTTTTTTAACTTAAAAATTTCTAAGCCCCATCTCCCTTTCTTAATCTATTTTTTTTTCATCATCTATATATAAATTTGGCTTGTCTGTCTGTTTGTTTGTAACCGATAAACGTCAAAACGGCTGAATCGATCGAGCCAAAATTTTTAGTGGAACCTCCTGTCCTCACATGACCCTAGGAAGGGTTTATAGAGCATCAAAATTTAAAGAAAAAAAATTCCCAAAAAATATTTTTATTTGTTTTTTGAAAATGCACAAATTCGAAAAATCCGCAATACCTTTATTTTTTATCTATTTATTTAGAATTCCCAAGAAATATTATTTTTGTTGTATATCGAGACTTAGTAAAATATAAATAATCCCCCTAAACCAACGACCCCCTCCCTTTCTTTCTTAATTTTTCTTCGCTATTTTACTATTTTCTTGAATATTCGATTTGTTAAAACTAAAGCCATGCAATGTATGGTGTATGTATGTCATAAATTATTCCTCTAATGTTCCTTACTTTTAATATGCTTTATTCTTTAATTAATAAAATCTTTGCTAGTTTTATAAATAATAATGAAGCTACTACATCAAAACAAGGAAGGATTTGTGGAGTGCATCAAACCTTGTGATTTCGATATAAATCAGAATGTTATTGTTTAGATGATGATAGAGTATTGTGATGGTGGTGCCCTGGATTCTATTATTATTGATCTGGAGAAGGGATTGACAGAGAAACAGATTGCGTATGTCTGTAGAGAGATGACAAGGTTAGTAGATGTGATCAAACGATCCCAAAAAATTTAAGTAAATTTCTTTTTCCATTCATTTCCTCTCCAAAACTCATTTTTTCTTAAAAGAAAAATTATTTTTTCGATTCACAACGATACCCTTAAAACATATACAAAAGATGACATTTTTTTAATTTCTTCTTTGTCGGAAAATTGTCAATTTTAAAGAAGAAAAACAAGAATGTTCCTTTAATTTTTGCTAAGACAAATATTTAAAGAATATCGTTGTGAATCGGACATGAACATTACATCAACTTTAATGGCCTAATAATTCAGAGGATTGGCATACCTGCATCGGAACAGAATCATTCACAGAGACCTGAAAGCTGGCAATGTTCTCCTCACTGGCGACGGTGGCGTCAAACTCGCCGATTTTGGAGTTTCGGCCAAAAACAAGGAACCATATTTTAACCATAAGGATAAGGTTGAAAGCTTACGTAATGTTTGAACACTTTTTTAGTTTTTCAACAAGTTAAATTTAAATGTTGCCTTGGAAGGCCTTAAAAGATTTGAAAATAATTTGACTGATTTTGTCAAAAAAAAATTATTATTTGCCCCAACTTCTAATTTTATTTTCTTGATATCTTTGCAGCCTAAAGATGTCAACCTTTAATGTTTAAAACTGACTATTTGATCTACCAGACATCATTGGTAGAAATATCAAACGTTTATGTCATCAGATAACAGGGATATAGGGAATCAAATACTTGTTTGAGGCAAGAAATCAGTTCCAAAAAAGCTATTATATTTTACTTAAAACCTCCAGGGTTTCTAAATTTTTGAATTTAAGAAATATTTATTCCAGTCATAACGATTATATATGGTTTGGTCAGGAGGATAATCAGAAAAGGGACACCTTTATAGGGACACCATACTGGATGGCCCCTGAAGTGGTCATGTGTGAGACTTTTAGGGACGAACCTTACGATTATAAGGTAAGTTTGGGACTCTTTTAAAGGACCCTCCATGCAAAGATGGTAATGTCCGATTTACAACGGTACCCTTGAAAGATTTTTCTGATAAAGTATGAATTACTATGTTTTAAATATTGAAAACTGTTTATTTTGATTTGTGGTTTCTCTTCCTTAAATAATGAAAGGAGAAATTATAGGGATTAAACACTTCTAGAAAGACAACATCTACAATTTTTATCAGATTAAGGATTCCATTATAATCGAACATTACCATTTTTGCATGGATGGTCAGTGGTCACTTTAAAGTCCATTTAAAAGAATAATAAACCCTAAAAATCATTTGATATTTTACTCTTAAGTTTAACTTCAACATGAAAAATCAGTTTTTAAGAAGAAAATGAGCGTTTAAAAATTACTTGATCATGTATTATAAAATCCTACTTTTAAAGTGACACCTACTTGTATATGCAGGGTTACCCACAAAGCATGAGACTATAACGAGGACCTAAAATTCATTTGACGACTTCCAAGTTTTAAATTAACTATTAAGTATTCTGCTTAAACTATAAGGAGACAGGATAAATTTTTCTGCACAATCGTCTCTGAAGACTCATCCTTTGTGGATAACCCTGTATTTGTCTTTCTGTTTTTTTTTGTTCTTAAACTCTGAAACGATAATGCAAAAATGTTGTCCGAGTCAAAACATTTTAAATTTTTTGTAATTTTTTAATGAATTTGTTATTCAGAAATAAATATTTGGGAAGCTTGTATTTTCGAATAAATACTTTTTCTTTGATTTGTTAAATTTTTTAAAATGCTTTAAATGAAATTAGTAAAACTCATGAGGTGTGTGCATTCTAAGATTTTTTCCATATAAAAACATAAATTGTTTTAAAAGATAGTCTAAGTAATATTGTTTACTTAACATTTTTGACTGATGAATAAGAAGGTAAAGAATGTTATCTGGAAATAATTAAGTTTAAACAAGTTGAGATTAAGCAAGCTTTTTGTCCTCTTCAATTGATAAAGATATTTCCGGGTTTTTGTTAAAATTGTTGCTTATTAACTGAAAATGTTTTTTACTTAAATATTTGCATAGAATTATATAATTATTATATTCCATGAATTTGATGCATGTGGATCAAATCAAAATTTAGATATCAATTTTTTAAACACTTTTTAGAAAACTTTTTATAACAAGATCGTTAAAATATCTAAATATAATTATTGATCTGTATTTGACGATTTTTTAAAAAATAAAAAATGTTTTTGTATTCCAGGCTTTTTAAAATGACTTAAAATTTCAAAAAAATTTTGAATTTTATTTGCAAGCAGTTTCGCTCCTACATTATCGACAATCGCAAAAAATACTTATCCCATTTTTTTAAGACGTCATTTTGAAATCCTTACCTGCATGCTAGGTCCTACACTTTTGGAACTCGAAGAGTTCTGTGGTTAAGACCATCTCTGGAAACAAAAAATCAACCAAAATAAATATATTTATGTGGATATTGCAAAAATCTGGAGACTTGAAGGGGCTGAAGAATGTAGACGTAGTTTAAAGTGACTCTCCATATAAAATGTTCGCCCGATCATGTTTTACCCAATAATTGGTCACCCAATATCACGTTTCATCCAATATCACGTTTCACCCAAATAACGTTTTACCCAACTCACGTTTCGCCAAAACTACACTTAGGGGTCCCCCCACAAAAAAAATTATAAAGCCAATTTAATGTTGCATTTACAAAAGTTATACGTTTGAATTCATAAAAGTTGTATGTTTTATATAAGGATACTGTTGATATTCTATTCTAGTACACAAGTTAGGCATCCTCTCGGGAGCCCGAACATGAACTCCTTGATGAAGTATGGATTGAAGGTTCCAGGCTGACCGACGCTCAGTTCTTGTTCGGGTTGGGTCGGCACGTCTGACTGTAACAAGATGTAATAAGCTACATGTTACGGTTAAAAAAAAACCAGCCCAGTGGGTTTTATTGGTATTTTTGGGGGGGAGGGGCTTTTGGTGTTTTTTTAATTTGATTTACATAAATTTGCATTAACATATATCACTAGTTTCAACTTGGGAACCCAGCTTTGTTTGTATCTATGAGTCAACCCACTCAGATAAGAATTTTTTAACCAATCTAAGAACATTCCCATGATTCTCCTGAGTTCCCCAGTCAGAATTTGAGGTAAATCGGTCTAAGGGTTTATGATTTATGATCGGAAATTGGGCAATAAATTTATGTACAATGTGTATTAGAGAATTGAAAAAAAATGGATAAAACTCTGAAATGTATTCTCGAAGAAACGTGAGTTAGGTGAAACGTGAATTGGGTGAAACGTCATTTTACCTAAAATTGGGTGAAACGCTTCGGGTGAAAAACGTGATTGGGCGAACACCAAAAAAGGCTTTGAAAGGGAACAAAACTAAGAGTTCTCAACTATAATTTCTCACCTGAATTATATAAAAACTCAGTGTTGATGATTCTCCAACCCTCACAGAATAATAAAAAAGTTTTGCTTCCACATTTTGTAAAATAAATTTCGTTTTTCGTCTAGTTTTGTAATAATTACATTGAAAAACATTTAATATAATACATATAATCTAGTACATTTAATCTCACTATTCACTTAGCTGGCTTCAACAACATTCACAATATCGATGAAAACTGCAGGAAATACAAATATAAAATGCATATAATGAAAACTGCAGGAAATACAAATATAAAATGCATTTAAAGAAAACTGCACGAAATACAAATATAAAATGCATTTAATGAAAACTGCAGGAAATACAAATATAAAATGCATTTAATGAAAACTGCAGGAAATACAAATATAAAATGCATTTAATAAAAACTGCAGGAAATACAAATATAAAATGCATTTAATAAAAACTGCAGGAAATACAAATATAAAATGGTTTAATTAAAACTGCAGGAATTATAAATATAAAATGCATTTAATGAAAACTACTGGAAATACAAATATAAAATGTATTTAACGAAAACTGCTGGAAATACAAATATAAAATGCATTTAATAAAAACTGCAGGAAATGCAAATATAAAACGCATTTAATAAAAACTGCAGGAAATATAAATATGAAATGCATTTAATGAAAACTCCAGGTAATATTAATGTTAAATGAATTTAATAAAAACTGCAGAAAATGCAAATATAAAATGATTTAATAAAAACTGCAGGAAATACAAATATAAAATGTATTTAATGAAAACTGCAGGAAATACAAATATAAAATGCATTTAATAAAAGCTGCATGAAATACAAATATAAAATGCATTTAATGAAAACTGCTGGAAAAACAAATATAAAAATTAAAATGAATAAGATAAATTTTGGGTTAAAAGTATCAAAAAAGATCGAATGAATAAACTTGCATTTTGATGTCCAATTTTTCATTTTGCCCTGAAATTTTTAAAATTTCTAAACTTAACACCCTCTTCCTTAAAAATAATATATTTTAAAAAAATATAGAAATCAAGTTTTCTTTTTGATTTAGGTCGACATCTGGAGTTTAGGAATTACTTTGATAGAGTTTGCCCAAATGGAACCACCTTTTCATGAAATGACTCCTATGCGAGTACTCCTCAAAATTCAGAAATCAGACCCCCCAAGGTAACATTGAACTTCTTTAAATACCATTACCATGAAATGACTCCTATTCTTTACTCTTTAAAATGCAGAAACGGTAACATGGTACTCCTTTTCACCTCTTATCATGAAAAGAATCCTTTGCTAGTACTTCTTAAAATACAGAAATCGGACCCTCCAAGGCAACATTGTCCTCCTGTAAACCCCATTTCATGAAATGACTACTTTGCGAGTACTCCTCAAAATTCAGAAATCAGACCCCCCAAGGTAACATTGAACTTCTTTAAATCCCATTTCTGTGAAATGACTCCTACTCCTTACTCCTTAAAATACAGAAACGGAAATAGGAGAGCTGAGAATAATCAAAATATAAACATAAATAATAATTATTATTATTAGACTGGATCATCCCCACAAATGGTCTCCAGATTTTAATGAATTCTTGCGACGATGTCTGGTGAAGGATCCTCATCATAGACTTTCAGCTGAGGATCTACTTAAGGTACTTTTGATTTTTAATGGTTTTTTAAAAAGTATTTAGTAACAGCTTGTAAACTAATTATCCCAGTTGAAATGATAAATATGGAATCAGTGTCGCCTATTTTTTCATACTTTTGCATATTATTAAAAATGCTAAATATTAAAAAACATTGATTACATCAGTACAATATGTAATGTATGTATATTTTATTACCTTCAGTGTGCATAAATCTTATAATAATAATCATCATTCAGTGCTTAGGATTCAATTTATTTTGATGCTGATTCGGATTCTTTTTAATTTTTCATTTTGTTCAGCTTCCTTTCGTTGGTGGAACAGTTGACCGTAAACCTATACTTGACCTCCTGGCAGAGTTCAAGGCAGAGATCATTAACGAGGTCGAGGTCGACGAAGACGAGGTGAGTTCCGTCCACCTGCCCTCGCCTCATATATTTTTTCCCCTCATAGTATAAATCAATTTTTCCCCAGATGTTAAATATTTAAAATATTATTTAAATATTATAAATTTGAGCGCATTTTTGTGTAAAATCTAAGGATCAGGGTGAACATTTTTTTCATTTTTTCCCAAAAAGCATCGAAAATTATTAATGCCTTCTTTTTTTGGAAACTAAACTTTCGCTATAAAAGCCAACCCACTCAACTTATTTGTAAAATCAAGCTATCAAATTTGAGCCAAAGGGGTTCATGAGTTATGATCCGACATGTTTTATCAAAGTTTAATCACCATTTCTTAAAATTTTTTCACAAAGTCCACTTCAGTATCTAGACTTTAGAAGAAAAAATCCTCCTTATATTTAAATATAACCTATAACATACGGTCTAGAATGTCTTTATAGTCAACTAAATTGTTTAATTAGCACCAATAATTGGTTGATAGAAAGTGTATCACGAGGAAAATGACAAACTTATTGTAGTCCTCCCAGAAACTTCAGTCCACTTTTTTCCAAACACAGATCCCTGAGCCGTGAATTTAAAAGGCACCTTTTGAGTTTTCTTTTTGTGATATATGCATTTGTGTAGATTTGTATTAAAAAATGAAAAATTTAAAGAGAATATAAAACTAACCATGAAAATAATATTTCTTTTAAAAAATGTTAACGTCTACAAAATTGCGTTACCCCATTTGTGAAACCCGGTTTCCGATGCTGGGTTTTATAACGATAAAATGAGATTTTTTATCACAAATTTTTTTGCCTCTTTTGCATACATCACAGCAGGGTTCCTCCCAGGTTTTTTGTGGCAGGTCAGGATAAAGGCATAAGTGGCAGAATTTACACACAGCCCGCGAAATCTTTGAAGAAGTTTTTTGCCGCGGGGGGTTTCTTTGAGAGGGGGGCAGAGCCTCCCTCTCAAAGAAAATTTTGGGATTCTGGTAGTAGAATATAGCGTTTTGGTGCTGTAAAAAGGTCAATAACCAGGTCCCTAACATAAGATATTCATTACTATTTCAAAGTACATTTAGATTGGCAGGATTTTGACATTAAAAAATAAAGAAATGCTATTTTCAAGTTATTTGGCTAATCCTTGCTGCGTCTTCTCTGTTATCAGAGAATTGAATATTTGCAGTTTTTATCTTTAACCCACCGTGCTTCTCACAAACATAAGTGTACTGTTGTGTAGAGAGGGGGGGGGGTATTTAGGTCTGATTATTAATTTCTTTATTGTCAAATAATGGCACCAAAATTTCAAAGTTTTACGATAATTACACCCCCCTTCCTCCCTCCGCAAATCTCGCTCACAAATAATCAATTAACATTTCGGGCATTTTTTCATATTAAAGATTCTCTTGTCAGCCTCAGACTTGTTATTTTAACACAGTTAAGCAAGAATTGTTGCGCACATTTGAATTTTAATTATTCAGACATTTTAAATCTCATCTTATCACGAGCCAGAGGTCTAACGGAGTTACGCGCGCATGCCGCGCTGAATTACGAGGCAGTGAGAGAGAGCCTGTTTCAGCCCTGGCGCTCGGCCCCCTAGACTGTCGTAGCCGCAGCGCTCGGCCCTGAGAGTGTTAAATAACTCAACCTAACCCTAAAAGATATACTAATCTCTCTCTTCTTTTAATTTAACACGGCAAGCGTGCGTAACTTCTTAAGACAACTGCCATGTTTTTTTCGGAGAGGTGAAGGGGGGAGGCACATCACTAGTTTTTGTAGACGAGGCGGATTTATAATTTTCGAAATTTTTCTGAACTTTATTTATATTTAAAACTTTTTAATCAAACATGATTTATAGTTTGAAATATAAAAGGTCTACAATATATCAGATATAGGGATTGTTCCCACAAACTGAACATATTAAGTTAATGTTAGATTTTTTTTGCAATTTAATAATTTTATCACTGAAAATTAAGAACAGTTGGGTAAAAAAAACACTAGTAAAAGAACAGTTAGGTAAAAAATCCACTATTAAAAGAACAGCTAGGTAAAAAAACACTAGTAAAAGAACAGTTAGGTAAAAAAAACACTAGTTAAAAAACAGTTAGGTAAAAAAACACTAGTAAAAGAAAAGTTAGGTAAAAAATAACACTAGTAAAAGAACAGTTAGGTAAAAAAAAAACTAGTAAAAGAACGGTTAGGTAAAAAACAACACTAGTAAAAGAACAGTTAGGTAAAAATTCCACTATTAAAAGAACAGTTAGGTAAAAAAAACACTAGTAAAAGAACAGTTAGGTAAAAAAAACACTAGTAAAAGAACAGTTAGGTAATAAAACACTAGTAAAATAACAGTTAGGTAAAAAAAACACTAGTAAAAGCACAGTTTGGTAAAAAAAAAAAACACTAGTAAAAGAACAGTTAGGTAAAAAAAAACACTATTAAAAGAACAGTTTGGTAAAAGAAAACACTATTAAAAGAATAGTTAGGTCAAAAAAACTCTATTAAAAGAACAGTAAGGTAAACAAACACTAGTAAAAGAATGAAGAATAAATGCTTATTAGATTAAATAAGGTTTTAAAGTCATATAATCTAATTCACATGTTTGAAAAGATACCCTGTAAATATAAATATCAAATTAAATCTGACCTCAGCTCCTGAAAAATAAATTTGATTATCTATTATTTGTATTGCTGCATTTAGAAACGGAAACAAAATCTGCAGGTTTGGCTTAATCATTTTTAAGATTTAAACAAAAGAACAGATCATATTTTCATGATGGAAATACCATTTTATTTTTTATATTCTCTATTTTATTATATGACAGACAAATTTGTGTTTTAAAGTTCCAGTGCCATACATGGCAACACTTAATAATTAAATAATTTTGTGTCAGTAAATAGGCATTTTCACAATTCTCGTTCAAGGCAATGTGAAATCAAAAAAGTCAGACTATTGGAACCTGGATTCCTCTTGAATTAATTTTAAATTTGTCAAAATATCTATAATTATCTACTATTTAACTTGTGATTTTTTATATGCATTGGTCGGCGTTTATATCAATGCAATGAAGGCGACTTTTATATTTTTCTAGCAAATTTTTTTTCAAATTAGAAGTTTACAATTAAACAAAAAGAAGCTGTAATTTGACAGAATCTCTTAGTTTTCATTTTTTTATCTTTCACTTATCGTATCTTATGCATCCATGCTGATAACAAACTTAGAAATTCAAATTGAAATCGAAAGTTCTTTATTGTATTGATATATACGACTACGACTGAATATATTGAATATGGATCGTTTATCACATTATCCAAGAATGTAATGCAAGGAAAGTTAATTGCAGTTGCGTACACTCTGCGTACATATTGAAACCAGTTCTCTCTGGGCGGAATTTGTAAACAATAATAGATGCATCATTGTTCGTTCACATAATATTTTCCTATGACAAGAATATTTCATTGATTTTTTATGTGAAAGATGGATCCCATGTCAGGCTTCGACATCCTTCTTGTGTTTACATTACCGCCCAGAGACAGTACACTGCAGTACAAAAGATGCGTACACCTCTGAAAAACTTTACTTGCATTACATTCTTGACATTATCCAACTGTAACGTAGTAAATTATTCTATTTCTGTAAAATCTGACACCATTGTTAATACTATTTAATAACTTGTTTGTTTTACAGGGAAAGCACTCGGATGAAAATGGGGATACAGAATCTATCTGTACAAACGATTCGAGTAAGTATCTTTCTCCTTCAACTCTATCAGAAGATATAAAGTATTTTAACAGCATTATAAAATTAACATTATTTACTGAAACTTTTATGTACTGGGGAAATTTTTCCGAACCCCCTTTTTTAAAAACATAAAAGGATTTTTAAAATTAATGCATCTTAGATCGAAGTTTGGTGTTCAGGATTGACTAGCCCAAACCGGTTCAACTACACTCCTGCCGATGAAATTAAGTTAAATCAGATATGTGGTTCAATTTGAACCAACCTCGGCTCGCTAAACTACTTTTTATCTTGTTCAACTATCTAGTACCAAATAATTGTCAAGGATTGAAGCGGGATATTAGAAATGCATTAAAAGACAAATAAATGTGGTTAATAAGCTGCCCCCATATTGCGACTTAAAGGGAGAGACCGGCTAGATATGGTAGTTGAGCTGAAAGTACAGTATTGTAGAGAAAACTTGATTTCTTTTGATACCAATGAAACATTTTTCCGGAGTACAATCGTTAAATAAGAGCGTAAATTCGTTGAAATAGTTTGCTAGTTGTTTTAGTAACAGAAGAAACGTTTTTTTTACAAATCTCAAATAAAGTGGACAATTCTTCCGTTAAACTGTATTTTATCTGTTACCTAATTAAGGTGCAATGGACACCTCTGTTGATACGGTGTATCACCGTGAGAACAGGAAGATATCAGCTCCAGCTGCTCTGCAGACTCCAACCCATAGGAACTCCTTCCTTCCTCCGCCGCCACTTAGTTCACAGAATAAACCAAGTCCTATCCAGGTTCAATCATTAATACTTTCCCATCATTGAAGTCATAAATTTTAATATTAATTTTTCCTATTTTAGCAATTCGAATGAATATCTAAGACATATGTATCAAGTTGAATTCATAGTCTAAAAGATTTAAAATCAACTACATGGGCTGCAAAGACATTAATTTTTATTTTTTTAACATAATCTTATGTTTTTTATTTTGAATTTAACAATTTTTTTGAATTTATAAATTACTGGGTACAGATCATTCAGAAATATTCTTTAATACTTCTTCTCGTCATCTATTTTCCTTTTCTTCTTTATTTGACTGTCCCTTTCAGCAATTTTGGAGAAAAAAAAATAATTGTGTTCGAAAGATATAATAAGGGTATAAGGACATTCTTTTTTTAAAGTACAAAGAAAGCAATTTAAGCATTTCTATAAAAGTGGAAATTTAAATATGGAATGGATCATATTAACTCTTTTTTTAAATTGAGTAATTATTATGATATGTTTAAACAACTAATTCTTTAAGAACAAAAAATATTCCATTAAAACTTTTTTTTTGGATTATGTAAAGTAAAATCCACCAGCAAGCTCAGATAGTATAAACCCAGTCCTAACCTAGGTTCCATCATCTAACGAAACAAAATATGAGTCACCATAAATCAGATAGTGTCAAATTTTCAATTAGATTTTTTTATTTTTTTAAGACTAATTGAATTATTAAATTAAAACAAAATACTACGGGATTCAACGGATTTCTCCAATCTCACTCAGCGAAAACCTTCACTTTAATTTCTCATTACAGATACATAAGAAAGAAGTAAAACTTACAACAATCGATGTCAAGTTAAATTATTATTCAGCCTTTACTCCCTTTGATATTACAAGTTCAGTCCCTTCAGCACTTTTATAGAGCAAGAAGATACAATTTTTTTTATTTAATAATGTTAATGTTTTTTTTAAAACAATTTTACCTGTAAGTAAAAGTGAAATGAGATAAAAATTTAATTTCCTACTTTTTGAAAATGTTATAAAGTCTATTTTGAATTTTAATGCGAAACTGTTTATAAAATAAATAAAAATGAATTTTATTTAAATTTTTTCATGAAAAAGTTAAAAAGCATAATCTTCAATTTAAAAATTGATTTGAAGATCATAGAATAAATCGATTACTTTGAAGATTAAAGGGAATGTTAGCGTGATTGCAAGTGACCATACATGCAATATGAGAAAAGCCCGATTTACATTGGTACCCTTGAAAGCTTTGCCTGATCAAGTTTTAATTAGATATCGTTGTTCCTTTAAATTGTTTATTTGTATATGCGGTTTATCTGCAAAAGCGACTTGCGCATTTCTTAGATAATGGAAGAAATGGAGAAACTACACTTTTTGAGTCAAAAAATCTTCCACATTTTTTATCAGATTAAGGTTTTCGAGTGAACCGTTGAAAATCTTTCTAGATTTGGACTAAATGATAGGGATTTAAAGGTCTAGTTAGAACAGGGGCGGGGCAGTGCAGTGCACCCTGCTGCCTGGGCGGTCTGGGGGGCCCACAATCGGTTATTTTCATCTTTGCACGGGGGTCAAATAACAAAATCCCTTTGACTATAATAACTGTTGTTTAGGAAGAGGAGGAAACCCAGAGTTCTACATCTCGAGGTAGGAAAGAGCTGCAACCTTCTACCCGACCCATCTCTAGAGATCAATCTGCAGGTAGTCATGTTACATTAAGTTGGTTTATTTTTGGTTCCTTTGTTTCAAGGGGCAAAATTAGGCACAATGTAAGAAAAGAAAAAGTTTTTAAAATTGTTTATTCCAAATATTTTTTTTTCTTACAATATGTCAAATTTTGTCCATGTCAGAAAATATATATATGAAAGAAACGAACTAGAAACAAACGTGTTAAAAAAATCGTTTTTTTGAGGGGCGTGTGGGTGGTGTTGTAAAAATATTGCAACGTTTAAAAAGCTAACACTAACAGAATATAGTTTTTAAATCTTGGGAATAATAAAAATGTTTTTAAATGATTAAGAACACTATTTGCAGGATCTCCCCGGGGAGCTGGCAGGGAGAAGAAAAAGGCACCTGCCCCTCCTCCTCCACAGTCTGGGAAGAATCGAACTGAACATTCTGTTGATAGTGTTAACACATCTAGTAAACTTGATAGTGTACCTAGTTCGAGTAAAACAAGCAGTACGTCAAAATCTAGTACAAGTTCACCTGGCAGTACATCTAGTACAAGTACACCTAGTTCAAGTAAACTTAGCAGTACATCTAGTATAAGTACACCTAAATCTAAAGCTGTAACACCAGAGTTAAATAATCACCACGACCGGCTAGCAAGTGAGGTAAACACCCCTTGTAAAAGTCTAGTCGGAGAGTATCAAGAATTAGAAAAAGTGACCTCTACAAAGCCAGAGCTCCTGGTCGTCGATTTGGACGATTATGATGACGACATGAGGTTCTCTCCGGCCAAGGAGCAGGCGTTACAGATGTTAGACTCCGCCATACAGGAGGCGGAAGATACAATGGCACTCTATACTGACGACGAAGAGACGGAGCTTGCTATTTCACAATCATCGTCACCATCCCCCTCACCTCTACCAACTGTCTCACCAGCACCCTCAACCTTGTCAGTAGCATCTCCGACCAATTCTTCCTCTACGTCACATTCCGCTTCTCCGGTTTCATTTGCTAAATCTGGTTTCCCATCTCGCTCTAACTCCTCCGCACATTCTGTCTCTCCAATCCCAACTCAGCAAAACTCCATGTCTCCTATTCCTAATCTGGCAGTCCGTCCTACTTCTATATCTCCGGGGGCAAGTCGACCATCTACTCCACGGTCTCAGGCTTCTCTACAACTACCATCTACTCCGTCTAGATCCCTTTCCCCCTCCCCTGCTCCCTCTCCTAGTATGGATAGACACTCCCCTGATGGTTCAAGTAATAGAGGATCTCCCGCTCTCAACCTTCATCATTCCCCAACCCGTCAACCATCAGCACTTGATTCTTCAGGTAAATAAATGATTCAGTATCCCTAGGGACCATATTATTTTTTTAACCCTCACTCAAATGTTTCTGCTGGTTTTTATCCGGACAGTAAAAAGTTTTTCAAATCTAGGACTTTATTGTCCCGGCTGATAACTTTTTTATACTGGCTGGAACATATTGTTGATTCTCTAAAATTAGTTTTTTAATTTTATAAACATGTAAAACTTTGATATTAATTATTTAAAAATTGAAAATTTTATTTTCGTTTGTTTTTCTCGGAGCTTCCTTTGTACAGAAGCCGTCTAAAATAATAAAATTTTAAGCTGTTCAATTTTGAAAGATATTATGCATTAATTGAGCTTTTTATCAATTAAGTTATTATTGATTATTAAATTTTTTAGAAGTAACTGTGATAGATAATTTTGTCTCCAGTCCAACTAAGGACTCGGCTTCACCACGCCCTCTTTCACCTCTTGCTCCGCCCTCCAGCCTTGAAATTAATACTGGAGCAACAAGTTCTTCATCTAAACCAGAACCTGTTCATGTCTCGGTGATTGTACTCGGACAGGACACCTTCAAGGCAATTCATTATTATAATTATATTATTATTATTACTAGCTTGGGAACCCAGCGTTGCCAAGGGTTATCATAGTCACTCCCGCCGTTTAACCCGCACTTGGTCTTAATTACGATTTTAACTATTTGTCCCTATAAAAGTGGACCCACACAACTTACAATTTCAAAACCAAGCTAAGAACATTCATGTGGTTCTCCCAAGTTCCCTAATCAAAATTTGTGGCAAGGGGTTCATGAGACACATGATCGGACATACAAACATTATATTTATTCTTATCATTATTTATTATTAGTTGAACAATGAACATTATTCAACATTAATGAAAAGACGACAAATGTTTTTGCCCTGAAATGCACCCACCGTGTCCCTCGAAAGAATAAAAATTGGAAACGAAACACTTATCCGGGGTTTGAACCAGCAAATTTTTAAAAATAATAAAACTAGTTTAGCTTCAACAATTTTTTTCATAAAGTATGAGAATAATTTTCAACAAAAAAACTACAAAGATTAATTTTCTATAAACTCTGTAAATTTAATCTAAATATTAAATATAGGTTGTAGATTCTTCATCACCTCGTGTTTCTCCAGATACTAGTCTTCCTTCGAGGTAGGATATTTATTTATTAAGAGGAGTGTTCAAGTATTTTAAGAGACCATGGTTGTGATTAAAAGATTGATTGCCACCAAATTTTGGTTTATAATTTCACGAAAAATGTTCGCGAAAAAATGGATTTTAACGAAAGTTCGAGTTTTTTTTTTTTTGAATTTTACCGAAAATTTCGCGAAAATGTTATATAAAAATTTTGCGAAAATGAACAAAAATTTTGTGTTTGAACATCAGAGGACTGAATAAAATTTCCCGACTGAGGTTGAACGAAAATTTGGAAACCCTCATTGAAACTTAATGTTTAAAAGTAAAACCTGCACATACAGGGTGTCCCACGAAACATGACAATAGCTAGACGACTTGAAAGTCGTCTTTGATATTTGAATTTATTTGTGACATTTATTCTTCTATTACTTTAACATGTATGATTCTTGAAACAATTATCACATAATTCTCCAAGCCCGGGCATTTCCAAAAAGTGGTCTGCGTTTTTTGTGCTTTCAATATTAACGGAGATATAAAGAGTTTGGTTCAGATTTCAATTTTGTTAAATAAAAGCAAAATTGTCGAAATCTGAAACAAATTCTTCATATCTCGGGCAATATGGAAAGCAAAAAAAAGGCAGACCCCATTTTGGAAATGGCAGGACTAGGGGAATTTTGTGATTATTATCTCTAGAAATTTACTTTTAAAATTAGGTTGACAAATAAACGCAGCAAATTATATCAAAAATCAAGACGACATTTAAGTCGTCTTGCATACTGTCATGTTTCGTGGGACACCCTGTAGCAATATTTGAGAGTTTTTTCATAACATGAATTAATCATTTCACATATCGACTAGGGGAGTCGACAGGTCGGGGACACACCGTTTAGAGCCTAGGATCCTGAATAATGAATAAACAATATTTAATCATACCTCAAGACCATTCTTTCGAGTGGGTTTCTTATTTTCATTTTTGTAGTCTTTAAAGGGAGTGACTTGCTAGCCATGGTAGTTGAGATGAAAGTGCAGTATTGTAGAGAAAAACTTAAGGATTCGTTTTATACCAATGAGACATGTTTACAGTTTACAATTTTAAATTAAATGATGGTGAAATATTACAAACGAATTTACGCTCTTACTTAAAAATTGTACTTTGTCAAAATGTCTCACCGTTATCACATGAATCCCAAAGTTTTTCTCTAAAATACTGAACTTTCAGCTCAACTACCATGTCACTCCCTTTAAGCAGAGTGCTAAATAATTACAATTTTGTTTAGAACAAGTCCTGAAACTGAGTTGGAACCTGTAGAACCTACAAAACCGTCCCGGTTATCTCCGGGTGTAGAACCTACTCCGGGTCATCTGGAACCTGTACTACAGGAACTAGAACCAGAGATCATTTCCTTAGCTCCGCCCCTGCAGTATGTTGACCGCAGATCAGATTCTGGCAGCTCTGTTGGCCGGTCAATTAGCAGCGCTAGCAGTCAGGTACTAATCAATAATCCAGGGGTATATACTTTTAAAAATTAAATTCCCCCCCCGCAAATGATTTTTGATGATC